TGATGATCGAGGATGGGCTAATTGCCGGAGATCGGTACAGGCACAAAGGTCGCCGGTGTCGCTTGTAAAACATCCTAGATCGTTTGACGAGGCGGTAATAAAAGACTGGTAACGCGGATGGCATTCGTTATGGGTGGTTATTCCGAATGGAGGATTCTTACGAGTATTCGTCACCCAAGGCTGAGGAAAATAGATTTTTGAAATAGATAAATAAATATATAGAAATATATAAATAAATAGAAATAAATATTTTTTTTTCTTTTAATGATACAGGCTTTTACAAATAATTTTTTTTTAAAAGAAATACTATCTTAAATGTATATTTTAGAATCAATTAATACAAATACTGTTTTGAAATGGATATTTCGTTGAAATATGCAACCATTTTCGTTAGTACGTTTATTACATTTCGATTAAACGAATAAATATTCTATCTACATCTAATCGGATTTCATCAATTTATAAAATTTATAAAAATATTTATCTGCAACATCTGTCTACAATACTTCTTGTCGAAGATCATTTCAAACGAATTCTCTTATCCCTTGAAGTATTCCATCATCAAAAAAATCCCTTTATATCAGAATAGCATCGAGTCTTTCGTCGTATCCACAAATAATATACCTCGACGGTTCATCCCCTATCGTCCTCCTTGCTCTCCACGAGCAAGTACCTATCGAGATCCGCGCGCAAAAATTGATCCTCCGTGATTTTCCTTCGAAGTCTGTACACTTGGGGTCGGTGATCGCGAAGAGAATGCTATAGGGACACAGGTTGAACGGCTGCGAAATGCATTGGCTATCGGGGTCCAAGAAGGGACGAGAGATAGAGAATGAGAGAAGAAAAAGAGGGATAAAGAGGGATGGTAGAGAGGAGGGTAAGAGAGAAAAAGGAGGTTGGATCGGGGGAGGGGGTAGGGAGAGGGCGGCAAGAGGGGGGGAGGGAGAAGAAGAGACCGGCTTTTATAATGGCGCGGCAGTTATACCGGTAAGCGAGTAAATGCATCAACGTGCTGCAAACCGAGAGGCACCTGAGAAAGAGAAATAGACAACAACTGACTACGAGTGCATGTACGGGAGAAAGAAGGGATCACGGTAAGGGGGTGGGTGTACGGAGAGGTGGAGGAGGGAAGGGAAGAAGAGGATCGAGGGAAAGGGACAGAAAAGAGCCAGACTCCTCGGGGTGTGGGCGGATTGCACGCGTCTCTCGGTAATGGATCCCATCGATCATCCCTTCGCGGGTAGATGGTTTCTCTTCCTTTCTGCTCTCTCGTGGATCGTCCATTAGTCAATTTCGTCGATTACCGTGGCGACTTCGTCGAATCATGGGACGACCCCAAAATAGTCGTGTCGAGGACGTGGAGGAGAAAAGAAAACGCCGCCACGATGGCAAAAAGCCACTTCGTTGCGCAGACATGGTGCAAAGTATGTCAAGAATCATTTATGTCCTTGATGATACGTATATGTATTATATAAAAGAGTAAATTATTGGCGCGAGAACTTTGAAATTTTTTTCTCCGAATATAAAGTACAAGACAAGTCTTCGAATTTTCAAAATTTTTCAATATATAAATTTCCAGTAACATTTATGGGAAAAACGAATATAATGTAACAAAGATTCAATAATTCTCGTATAAAGGATATACGTACGAAGAAAACTCGGTAGAAATCGATACAATTAATCGGTTCCAGCGGGTTTGAAATTCCACGGTGGATCTGATGCTCTCCCCGTTGCATTTTTCTTTTCTTTTGAAGAACTTATTGTCCGGCCGATTTACGAGCGGTTGGCTGGCTCGGCGCGAGCGAGACCATCCCGTTTCTCCATCCACGCGACCGCCTCTTGTTCCACAGAGATGAAAATGGAGTAATGCCGGGAGCGATTCTGTGATTTACCGTGGACCAACATCCAGAAAGAGATTCAACACACGTATTGTGAACCGTGTGCAGAGGCCTTCTTCTTCTTATTCCTCCTCTTCCTCCTCCTCCTCCTCTTCTTTCTGCTGTTCCTACCGGTTGGGATCTCTGGAAATGCCAGTGTGATTTGTGCGACCGGTTACCGTTTTCATTTGCATATCCCTATCGGCTCTTTCGTACATTGTTATCTTCGTTGCCACGTGATTCTCTGGTCTAATAGCCTGACATGAAGTAATCCCGGTAGTCCTCTCCTCTCTATTTCGAGGAACGTTATGTGGATGTGTTGGATCCGTCGGTCACGTTATTTGGATAGTTAATCGATTTTTTGTTCTCTTTTTTTTTCCTCGTTTGTTTTTTTTTTTCGTGAGATTCGTTTGGTTCTTATCCTTTGATATAGAAGGCAGGATGATTTAAACGAAAAGTCGAGGTATCGATCTATATTATCCCATCGATATTGTATAAATTCATTACATATTATGTTTTCCATCCCATCCATTGGCTTACAATTATAAGGCAATCACACGTCTCAAATTTCGCGCGATATTTTTCGAAACATCCATTGGAGAGTTTATTTTTCAAACTTTCGTATTTCAATTATAGTTTATGATACAAACGGTGTCCACGTTGAACCAGCTTTTCTTTCTTTTTCCACTGATATGATTGCAGTGAGGACGCTGGGCGTAGCGGCGACGAAATGAAGCATGCAGCATGCGTGGTAGCGGTGTCACGGCTGCGCGGTCCTGCCTTCAACCCCTGGTGTCCGCCAGCCGCTACCTCGCCGTTCAAGCCCTTCCTGGTGATCCTCTTTACTTCGTCGTTGAGGTGAGTACACAGACATTTACATTATTAAACCGGGGAGAAGGAGGAGGAGAATAATTCATGACGACAATGCATATTCAACTTGTTGCAACGTACATCATAATCGTTTTCATCTTGTTCCGTTACGCGCATGGTAATTCCGGATCGTCTATTTTCCATACAACGCCATTCTTTCTTCATGGAGTTAATGAAAAAACCAATAACGTTGAAAGCTATATGTTTAAAGACGATCGTGTAATTTTTCTTCATACTTTAGAACGATTCGCATAATCGCCAGTATCATTTTATAGAGAAGTCGATATCTTTGAATCTTATCTTTTATGAATATTATTAATTCTTGTTTGAAGCGTTTATAGCGTACGAATTGCTGTTTAAATTACCGGTAAGATACTTTACGATTGAAGATACGAGGGAAAATGAGACGGAATATAAAGTGATACGATATAATAACAATGATAAGAAACTTATTATTGATAATAATTAAATATAAAAATATTTCGATAGAATAATTTCGAAATGTCCATGCTAGATTATCATGATTGACGAATATTCATATAAATAAATCAAATAAATAAAATTTTTATTCTTAATATTCGTGAAAAAAAAGTTACATAAAATATTATTATAAATACACGATTGAATTGAAAATCACGCGCATCGTGTATACGAAAAAAAAAAAAAAAAAAAAAATGAAAAAAGAATTCGATCCGATTATTTCTTCCTTTTTTTTTTTTTTTTTTTTCACATGTAACATGTACCATCATCCGGTTGAAACGAAAACGCGCAACATGGCCGCGAAATACCATACTTTATCGGGACATGTGCATCGCGATGTCGAGGGCACGCCTGGATTTTCTAATCGTGGAATGCGATTAGTTACATCCGTGGCGCGCGTGGGCGTGCGAGCGTGGAATAACCGATGCGAGAGAAACCCGCGTATAGTATAGTCGATATATTAAGGCGTGCGAAGGTACATGCACCTGCCTTGTCCTCCCTAAGAGTCATTTACAACCGGCAGACCGGGGGAGTGAAGAGGAACGCCCGATACTATGTGGAATGGCTAATTGAAAAAGTTGCTGCCTCGGTTATTTTGTAACACCGTGTTGTACAGAATTATGTTTCACGCGTGAAAAGTAATTTTATTTCATTATATTTTTTGAATGTGTATATATTGAATATACGATCGATTTATCTTTTCTTTTATTTTATTTCTTCGAGAATCTATCAATCTTAATGCTAGAATGTTGCTTGATGAAATTAGTAAAAATTGAGATAAACAAAGAGGAATATCCGTATTCTTATTGAAAATAATATTTATCAAAATATAATTTGTCAAATTTTTTAATCATCTTCTGCTTAATTATCTTCTAACCGTGAAACATTCATATAGTATAGCTCTTCTCTACGATGGTAGAAAAATTTATCTTGAAACTCCAGAGAATATCAGAGCAATATTGTTATTCAAATTTCCGTTGTTCGTGTTAAAAAGATCGTATTTATCTCGCATTTTGTCTCACTTATTTAAGCTTCAGGTATACATTAATGTATACCATTAATGTATATATGCGATACAAAAGTTATATCAAATGCAGTGTATAATTATATTAAAAAATTATTTACGCAATCTCACCGAAGAATTCACTCGAGAACTGGTAAGAAAGAACTCGTTTAGTTTCGCGTGGCACGATATTTTTCGTCGATTCACGGTAGAACGCGTGCCCTCGTAAATTTTTCAATGCTTCGCGTGAAAAATGAGTGATCTCGTTTTTGAGGCGCGCGTTTACACGAATTATACACGCGCGATTCATCATCGTTTCAACGCAGTTATGATTGCTATTAAAACAGTTGTTGCCGATTAAATCTGTCGGAATAAAGGCTCGTTTGATAGTGGATTTTAACTCAACGATTCGTAAGATACACGATTATATCGCCATGTTTAAGCGTCGACATGACTAATGCTTGTCGCATATAAAACACTACAGGTGTAAATTTCATTTTTATCTGTGTTCATTTTTTTTTTTTTTTTTTTTTTTTTATTTATCATTGTATCAATCAATCGTCGATCGAATATCAAAAACTCATTGTGGTTAAATTATACGGTTTTTGCAATGATATTATTGGTTGGATTATGTCTGTTATCGTGTAATGGTAAAAATAATTGTTTTTTTAAATATTGATTTTTATTTTTCTTTTTATTTATTTTTTTTTTAACGAGAAAATACGGACTTCATTGATTAAATCTTAATCATGTTTGCAAAGCAGTGGTGCTTCTGCAACGAATTCATTAATACAAGTCCACAAATGAAGAGGAAGCAACTGTATTCTTGTTTCTTCACGATATTTTCTATGCAACTATGTAAAAGTATATTATTGATTCTTTTTTTCTATCTTTTCTATCTTTCTTTATAATGCCATTTTTTTTCATCTAATGCATAATATATTTTTCGATAACAAACTTATAAGAATACTCGTTCCTTCCACTGTTATTCTCGCAATTTCACAATCCAAGACGCCATATACTCTTTCATAATTCTCTCTCTCTCTTTCTCTCGACTTCAATCAATTTCTTAAATCTCAATCACATAAATTTCATAATCGAAAATACCAAACGTATATTTTCTACATCTTCTACAGACTTTTGTTCAACAAAAGGCAATGAGATTCTAAAAAACAAAAAAAAAAGATATAAAAATAAATAAAAAATAGAATAAAATTTCAACCTTTTTGTTTCTTTTAAAAATTGATCGAAAAATTTCACATTCTTTTATTTATCTTCCAATTATTCATTTCTAAAATTCACTTGTACTTTGAAAATTTTCGAATTTGATTTCCTCCATAGAAGAGCAAAGTCTGAAACAGCTTTATTCCACATTATCGAAATATTTTTTTTTTTTTTTCTTTTCACGTGAAATCACACTGTACCATGTGGAAAGAGTTTTTCCTGACAACGAAAAATATTGGGAAAACACTGGAACAGGGAGAATGCGTGGCGAAGGCGATAGCAAGCGTTTCAATGGCAAGGTTTTTCCGCAGCAACGTCGATTTGCCCGTTCGAGGCTATTGCCTTCTCGCGTCGTTAGACAAACCATCTACACAGAGCGTTACACACGCGCATATATATACGGCCGGTAGTGTTCTGGCGCACCTTCTCACACGATACTATCTACTTAATTATAGCCAGGTTCATTTGTAACGACGAATCTGAATTCCCGGTTGCCAAGGAAATTCCTCGTTCTGCCTGCCTGGCCCCGTGTTGGCCTGCTGTGAAATCAACGGGGCTGGCATTCTGGCTTCATTATACCGGATCAAAGTAAGAATGTTACTCGCGTGCAAGTTATCAAGTTTGTTCTATGGAGCTAGGATGCAGTAATGTATCTGTTAAGTAGGTATATGGATAATATCTAATTAATAACTCGTGGTCGTTTAGAAAAATTTAGAAAACGGATGTTACAAATTATTTTCAACATAGTGATGATGATAAATGGATATGGTAAAATATAAGAAACAAACACAGTTGCAGTATCTATGAAAAATGTTTGAAATAAAGGGTTTACTATTTCGTAATATTGCAAAATTAGTGGATTTTTGTTACTATTGATGGAAACGTGTTAAAAAAGTGTAGGAGTAAATAATAAAAAATGAAATATGAAAATTAGCGGTATAAAAAAAGGATACATTTTTGAATATATTTTTATATATTGTATAAATTCTATAATTTTTTGCTGCATTTGAATTTCTTTATAAAAATAAAAATGTTATATGTAATTAATTCTTCGAAATTATATAATATATTTAATATTAACTTTCTTACATCGCTATAGATTTTTTTTTCACAAATTGTACGATTCATAAAACAGAAAAATCTGGAGGATAATTAAAAACGCGTGAGAAGAGGAAAACAATAAGAACAAGAAAGAAAGATATTAGTTTCTTCTGCTGCGTGTAATTAATCTATTAACTCTGAAGGAAAATGAGTAAATTCATTATCTCTGGATCGCCGGTAATTTGGATGTATTTCCGCCTCGTAATTTCCTGGCAACAAGCAGGGAACGAAAGGAAGAATAAACATTTTTCCGATCTGAAACGCTTACGTGTTCCTGAAATAGACTCATTGTTACAAAATACGATAAGAGATACACGAATTAAAAATGTTTCATTCTTCGTTATATTTCCTGCCTTTAACACTCGTGTTTTCTACGGCATATTTCTCAAATGACCGTGTCGATTCCTATCTGGTCCCGGTTACGTTTGTACCGATACTAATTTATTACAATGGCAGAACGGTAGCATAATAATTATGCAGATAATTGAAATGCCGATTAGAAAAGTGGAATGGCCAGGTTTCTTTTCAAATGGAAAAATACGTCCATTGTTCATTTCATCCGTAAGATTTGTAGAATGTCTATGAGAAATATTGTTATTCGAGTTTATGGTCTTTTTTATTTCTCGTTTGATTTATTTTCCTCTTTTATTTCTTTCTTTCCTTCAAAGGATAAAAGTCGAATTTTGAACTTAATCCAAAATGGACTAATATTCTTGCATTCTTTGTAATATCAAATATTTATTAAAATTGCACGAATTTTAAATTACTATTATTTAGTACACGTACAACTAATATCTATAAAAAAAAAAAAACAAATTACGACTTAAAAATATTTTCTCGATATACAATTGTTATTTCAAAATCAAAATCAACGTCCTTATTTCCATAATTATTTCCATAATTATACTTCGTATATTTTTTCGCAAAATGATGGCCAAGTATTTACGATGATGTAAAAATGATGTAAAAATCTCCCCAAAAAGAAAAAGAGAGAGAAAAAGAAAAGGAGGAAGATCCATTTGGACAGATATTTTTGTCAATCTCGCGAATCTATCGCGTGGCCGTCTTGGGCCATGGACAGAATCGTGAAACGCGGGCCCGATAGGATCGACCGTAAATCTGAGCCGACAGGCTGTTCCAGGGGATATTTTATGGTGGCCCGTAGAGATTTGGTGCGGAC